TCTTAAATAAAGTTTATTTCAATAAATTGAACTTTTTCTATAATTATGTTTGTTGAAAATGTGTTTGCATACTACGTTTGTTTATGAAATCCCTGTCTGTCTTAGAGATCTATAACATTTAGGGTAACTGAGAAGATTTTTAGAATAATAAGAAAGAATAAATTGAATAAATTGGTAACAAGTGATGTTCACTCTCTCTTCGTCATCATGTTTGTCTTCTTTGTCTTGTAAGTTTTTCTTTAAATAATGTACACGAGTGCATAATGTTATAATAAATATTTTTTATTTCATTAACAAAAATGATAATCACACTCCGACCGCATTCTCCAGAATTGGTATACATAAGGAGGACTATGTTGAAGCATTAAAACTTGGAATAAACGTCTGAGACTTTATACTTTGTTTGGATCAAATTATTTCGATGGATTAAAATATAACATTGAACAATAGCTGAATTATTATGCTCTATTACATATACATTATTCCAATGAGCAAACACATTCGGCGGGGGATGACCATGTTAACATGGCTTTTGTTTATGTTCATTCAACATACTTTGTATAAACTACTCCAGCGTATATAAAATAAGGAAGTAGACATTGATTCACTTAAATTAAAATAACTGTTACAATATAAATAAGATAGTGATGTATCCAAGTTACACATAACAATCATTCGCGTTTTTTCAGTACAAGTCTTTAGCAGGTAATGAACTGAACTTTAATTAACATTTTGTCCCAAATACGGATACGAAAATTAAACGCATCTCTAATCTGGCCTTACTTTGCTGTTTATGCATATTACAATTATATAATATATTGTTGTTCATTAAATGAAGTTATACCAATAACATTAATTAACGTAAGATCACCGGTTTTTTTGGTTTGCTGAAATAATCCCCAGCGGTTTTGCAAGACGTATGTTTTATATATAAAAGAGTTATTTAAAAATAATGATAAAGTTCCGTTATGATTTGTTTAAATTACTATTTGTTTCATAATTAATTACTATCTGCTTCATAATTAACAAAAAAAGCAAAAAAAAGAGAGAAAAATGATTATTTTTTAGTGCCGATTATATGTTAAAGTAAAAAAAAATATAGTAGTTTGATTAACATTAAAGATGAGAATAAGATTTTAAGTAAAGTAATAAAATAAAAGATTTAAGTAATATTTACAGTTTAGTTCGATTATTGGCTGATTTTTGCAGCATAAGCACAATACTAATTCTTGGTAGCTAACGTAGTAAGGGTTATTACTGCATATCTGTATATATGTTTGGCAATTAACATATACGTGCTATTCACCTTGTCTAATGCTGCATCCTTTATTTTACTAATTACTAATTTAAGAGAGTTTTCGACAAAATAGGAGAAAAATCAAAGGTTAGAAAGGTAGAAATGGAATCTATATTGAATTAACTTCTAGCTGTCTGAAACTGTCAACTTAAGTGCCAATTTTTTAATGTATGTAACATTTCAACGCAAAATTCAGAATCCTAATCGGATTAACGAGAAGGGGAATAGTTTTTTTTTAGTGAAGCTTTAATATTAAATCAAGAAGCATGGCCATTGTCGTTACAAAAGACAATAAATTTGAATACATATTTAATTGATTTTAGAGACTGCGTGCGCATGGTTTCACCATTTTATTATCTAATTAAATGCTGACAGACTTAATATCATACATTGGTAACTACTTTGACATGCTAAGGAGTTACTAATGGATGGTCATCGCAGTGATTACATATATACTTTAAACGCAAAATAAACATACATACCATTCATTTTTATCAATAATTGTCATTGCATAAAATTACATCTTCTTGTCTTAAAAATCAGTAACCATCTGATGGAGTTTACAACAGTCATATTGGCAATGAACAACAGTAATATATGTAATATAAAACACTGCCATATCTGCAAAAACAACAGTTATATATGAAAAAGGCAACTATCCTATAACAACAATTATATCTGCAATAAACAACAATCATATTTGAAAAAAAAACTACATTCATATAATAAAATAACAGTCGTGTTTGCAGAACAGTACTACCTACAATAAATTGCAGTCATATTTGCAATGCACAGCATATGCATATGCTATAATAACAGACAACTAATATTTTTATTCAAAAAAAAAAAATGAACCCAACTGAATTGTATAACGTATTTGACAATTATATTAAACACGTGCACTACTTAAATGTACAGAAAAAATAAATCTTGAAACTAATTTTATCAGTGACCATGCACTAGTCACATACTATTCAATGTTTTACATTCTTCAATACCGAATCAAAAAAGGCATCTCTTCTTAAAAGGCAATAGTGTATAAATCTTCAGATGATGAAAAATTCCCTTTACAGAGCCAATAATGTTTATCAAATTTATATCAATTGAATCTGTTTAATTAGCATTAGTTTATCATTGCCCTTGATAAAAACTTATTGATTTATTTTGATGCCCGCTGATCAATAGATTTATAAAAATACAATAAAACAAGATAAGGCATTTTTGTTATGGTGGCCAGTGTGCAAGTTACTTACATAGATACATTATATTCTAAGTGGGTAGATCTTTGCTTAATTATATTTTATGTTGCTCAAAAATGTTTAACTTCAAGTTTTTGGCAACAACTATGTTTTCCCTTAAGAATGTGTTTATGATTTTACGCTACATTTATTGTTTGTTTTATATATGACTTTTGTCCATATTAATTTAAACCTTTTTTATTTTTTTTTTTTTTTTTTTTTTTTTTCATTTTCATCCGGTAACTATTATATTTTAATAATTGAAGTCTTATAAATTACATGTAAACTGAAATTATATGTTTAAAAGTTGTACAACCTTTTCAATTTGAACACGTAAACATTTTTAATTATTTTATGCAGCGTCAATCTTGTAAGCATGAATTCAAAAATAAAATCAAGCGACAAATATAAACATACATGGGTAAGCAACAATTATCATCCACTGTTGTAAATTGAAGACATTTCATTACATTTTTACTTCATTCTATACAATATATATATATGTATATATATATATATATATATATATATATATATATATATATATATATATATATATATATATATATATATATAAATATATATATATATAACATAATGTTTTAGTTTACATCAATGACACTTTATATGCATCTTAGAAAAGTTTTAAGTAATATTATTTGTCAAAATTCGTTTGCACATTAAAGCTATCACTGCATAAGAATATTTAAAGAGCAAAACTGGTGAGAAATTAATAACTCCCTGGTTATCAGAACCTGTTGGTATATATTGTGTTCAATACTTCAGTTGGTTGAAATACATATAAAGACATTTAATATTTCAGAACTTAATATCAATGTACTTTAGCGAGCAGTGTTCGTTCTAATTCCTTGTAACAATTGATGGTTTCTTAAAAAATAATGAAGATTTTCATTTTTAAAATCAATATATAAGACATAATATCTTCCTATAATAAATTGATATTGTTCGAATATCGAATACCGAAACAAAACACGATTAATTAATTTAATGGAAAGCCTGAGATTATATTGATGCCCAATGCTAATTATGTTAAAATGGTACACATGTCTGTTGTTTTCTGTGCTGTGTTTGCATATCTTGTCCCGTGTTTTGTATCTTGTATTTCACATGTGTTTTAGTGCCATGAATTAAATATCATACTTTCAAAATATTTTGTGCCGTTGATTGTCTACTCAAATTTAAAAAAAAAACAAAAAACTTTGTGTTTTTGAAACGAAAAATACTTATAAATCAATACTTCTAAAAATACTCTAAGCATTATGTAAGTTTTATTGTTTAGAAAAGTATTTCAAGCTAATGATAATGATAATTTTACACATGCCATTGAATATTTGAACATGTGTTGTTCTATATTTGTAATCTATGATTTAAGCAATTATAATTCGTGTAGTTTTATTAAACATTGTTTTTATCTAATCTGTTGATGACGAATGCATTATATGTAAACAATAGTAACTGTATTTGATACAGTTTCAGTGTTATTTTCATCTGAAATGAATAGATGATATACACACACGATGACATTTTAATGAATTTATACAATATATAGTGAAATTAATAAATAGCTTGTTCGTTGTGATCAATATAAAAGACCCAAAACAATGAATTTCGCATTTAAATTATTAATCATAACTACTTACATATATCTAACACTATTATTCGGATGTTGCCCGAATCATTTATGACTACCTGGTATAAGCTAAAGGCTAAATACATTTAATTGTGAGTTACATATTGAACTTAGCGGGTATGATATAAAGTCAATATCTGTACAGATGTGTAGTCCTAAAAAGTTATTAATTATAACAGACACTGATGCTTAAAATTAAAGTCTTAAAAATGTTGGGGTCTATTAGATACCAGACACAGTTTCTTCGTTCATTGTAAATATGCGGATATCTTTGGAACATACCCATGGTTTTACTATTTAGAATCACATTTACAAACATTAATGCACGGCTTTTACTGCATTTTTTATTTGCCTAATAAAACTTGAATGACTCTAGGGTCGGATTGAACGACTGAGACACATTTAGTGATGGTATGGCAGTAAAAAATCTAAAACGTCATTTTAATATAATTGTTACATAAATTTCATTATTGTTCCAACATCTGCATTCCTGTACATGTATGTGATTCAATATGTTTGTGTTTCTTATTTCACTGAAATAATTGTGCCATACAATAATAGTTCAGATAAATCTGCATGTTTCATATGAGAGTACTTTAAGGTAAAGACTGGTGAAAATAACACAACTATATACTAATAAAGAAAATCCTGAGACTTTGTGTGTCATTGATTTTAATTGATTTTAATTGAAGGAAACAAGTTTTTTTAAACCCCATAAGAAAAGGAACAGATCAGGTATTAAACTTAGGAAAAAAATTCTAACACACTACACAAGCTTTTCATATATATAATTTTTGTAATTCATTTCATATCTTTCAGATGGTCTGTCAGCTTTACATACAATGGTGGAGAGGTAAGAACCTTTAAAAAATAAAACCAATGCTACAGCTTAATGTTATATTGAACTTCAGGTAATAACAATAATGATCAAAAAATAATGTGTTAGTATAACCAAATACTTGTCAGCATGGTTATCACCATTTTCATAATTTAGTACTTAAATATATTTTTTTCTTATACAATTTAAATATACAAACTGTGAAAGCATGCAGTAAAATGTAAGTGCATAAAAATGGCAATAAAAGACAAACGGCGAGTGTTTAGGCTTTTTATTTGGTAAGTTAAAACAATCGTACTACAAAGAATCAATTATATTGTAAAGACACAGTAACAAATGATGTATATTCAATGTTTTATGAAGGACAATATAACTAGTCGTTCTGGTGAATACTATCGGTCGTTCTTTTTGTAGATATGTTTGTGTTTTATGTGTTTTATCATCACTGTTTCATTAAAAACGATATACTTAACGTTAACATGTTAAAGACAGTGATGTAACAAAGGATTCATCAAGAAGTTATAAACAAACCTTTTTCGATCATTCGATATAATATATTGCTTTGCCTATTTTTTTCTTCATGATAGAACTACTTAAATACAACATACCGTTATCTTCGTTCCTTTGAAAACCAAATTATACATGTTGATGAAAGAGAACTTTATAATCAAAACAATCAACATCTTGATACATAACACATGTATATACTCAGAGGCACTTATATATCGACAAAATTAAAAGTCTCTGATTCCTACTAAATCTGTATGTTAACCAGTTCTATTACTTTTATGTTACCTTACTGACTACTGACAACGTTAACATCTCTGTCTAATAGTTCTCCATTCCTGAACAAGGGCTTGCTCGAGTTTCTGGCTTATTGTCGCTTTCTTACACGCCTGTTCAATTCAGTTTACAAATGTGATTTTAAGATGTGTAGACTTGGGAGGCAGGAGTTGCAGGAACTTGAGCAAGCCCTGTTTTAGGAATGGAGAAATATTTCCCAAACCTTCATGAGAAACTGCGTCATTTTCATGAATCAGGTGCCTGCACGTTGTTATAGCCATGTGAGCCAGTTATACTTTCAGTATTGTGGAATTTAGAGACTTTTCATTTTGTTATGATACTTACAGCCAAATGGTGATTTTTCATTTTGCAGTTGCATATTTGTTTTGTCATTTTCTCTATTTTCTTGTCAATGAATTGTTATTAAAATTCTACGTTACAAGTATGATATGTCAAGTTTGTATGGTACAAATTTGAACAAAATCTGTCCACAAATGACATGTCAATACAGAAAAATGTAGGTGTCGGGTTATAAGTGCCTCTGAGTGTGTTCCTGTTGCAAAATGAATTTAAAGATCGATCAAGGACTTTTATATAATTTACTCGAATGATTTTTCCACATCATTACTTATAGTTATTATATGAATTTGCAGAATAATGAAATACAATGCTTGTATGAGATTGTACATAAATATGGGACGTACTCAGGTTCTTAAATTACAAAAAAAAGATTGTTTTTCAAGTTTTACATGATTAAAATAATGTGATGTTGATTCAATTTTTATATATTCAGGAACATGCTTATCACGTTATGTTTGATAACCTTTTAATAGTAGTGATGCGATTGTTTTTGTTTTTAAACTATATATTTAAAATAAGTGGATACATGTTTAAAAGTGTACAACTAAATAAAACATTTAAACAAAAAATTCGTAGTAAATTATGTTTTGGTATTTATCTATTCTTGATTATCATTCTTTTTTTAAATACGTATATGGATATGATGTTAAAATTTTTATGATTTAAAATAAAAGTATTATTATTATTCGATCAGTATAAATAAGGAAAATTGTGGTTGTTAAAATAAAAGCAAAAATAAATCTGAGAAATTTAGACAAGAAGAAATGGAAATCAAATACATTTGCAAGGTGATTTTAAGAATATTTTTACAAAACAATAACATTATATAACAATTCCGATTCACTTCACTTTCCAAACAAAATCTTTACAGGGTTATATTTTCTGTATTTGATAATTTCTGTCGATTTCTCGTCGTACATACATTCATATGGCGAACTTAACCAGCTTTACTGGTAAAGGAAAACCTCAGGTGCCCCTTCGTAAATTAGTACAAGAGCGGGCACATAAGAAACAACGACGTGTTAGAAACTTGCTGTGTACATTTTTCACAATCAATAATCCAAAGTATCTGGCATAAGTCAAACCTACAGCGGTGAATGGTGGTTTAAATTGAACGTCTTCAACTACTCGATAACGGACGTGCACGTTGTGCTTTGACCATCAGAACTAATAAGACATTTTATAAAATATGGATATTTTGTTAAAATCTCTATAGCTAGAAACACAATGTATTGATCTATTTTATTCAAATGTAATGTATGTAGTTTGCTACAAGCACGTAGATTTACATGAATGAGATTATTCTAAGCTCTCATTACGGGAAAAAGAAAATATCTTGGGCTACCACCAATCAGTTATTTAACCAGAAATTACGTATACTGACCAAGCACTGTCTTTTCCTCACGGTTTATTGTTTGTCGTACTGTTTGCCGAATCCGAATATATTGAAGTCGTTATTTCGTCAGTTATATTTGCGTGCGTGTTACGGCTCATTGAATGTCGGTTTAATAAAGAATAATAGTACTTATTTACCCATCATATCAATCAAAATAATCAATTTTCTTTTTTTATATACAGTGCTTTCTATATTAAATTTCTACAGTGATATAGAGGTACAAAAACCGTCAATATTTAGTTTGTTTAATTGCAAGCACTTTGTTTTATACTGTATACGAATGTGATGCAAATAACTATGATTTTTCCTCTTTAGCTCTTATTCTATTTTCTTGTGATTCTGAATATTTTTTCAGACAATAGTGATTCGGGTGTATTTGGACAATCATCACTTTGCTGTAGGCATGGAACATCCAGGAGGAAAAATAAAAGTAATAAAAATTTCCCATTAGTTGAAAAGCAAATGTTATAGCTCAACTATAGTTGGAGTTCGTTCTGTATCAAAAAGATGATCAATGTGCTAAAACGGAGGGTCAGTGAAAAAGTGGACAGATAAATACTTTTTTAAGAGTATATTTATGATATTAAGCATTTATGTAATGAATTGGATAGTTTGGTGTCTGTGTGTTTTTGTTGTTTGCTTTGTTGTTGTTTTTGGTTGTTTTTGTTACCCTAAAACTATACAATATATTCAGTACTTATCTCTATGTCCATAACATTTTGAATGTTGTATATTTCAATATACAGAAACCATTATTGATAAAAAATATTCCTTCCTATGTGCCTTTAAAAACACAATGTATTAATATATGAAAGTAAAAAAGAAAACAATAAATTCAGGTTCATTTAAATAATTTGATAATTTGGTAATATGCTAAAGAATACGAGAACGCATTCAACGCCGCGAGTACATAATCGGATCATTGAAATGTTTGGATGTGCTATTGTTACAAATTATGCACATTTATTGAATTCGTCATATTAGTCCATTCGTTTTGTTTATCAAGTTTATATGTATATATTTTTTGCCTGGTTATATCATCATATATGATTCCTGATATTCGCCCATACCTGTCCCCCCAAAAAAAACATTGTCTTAATTGACGCTTGTATATTCTAAATATGAAAGAGATTGCGTTAATTGTAGACCGCTAAAAATATGTAATGTAATTGTTTTGTTAATTTCATATAAGTGAGATGATAATGATGTTGGTGAGTTGATGATGATGACCGGGCGGCAACTTTAACAATTATAATGATTGTTTGAATACAAATTAGTTCGATGATGATGATGATGATGATATTTGTGTGTTTATGATGATGCTGATAATGAGGGTAGTTGTGATTATGACAAATAATGTTTAATTTATATAGTTCAAGTGATTGACTATAAATCTTATATTTAGTCAGCAGTAAGTGAGAAATGACAATAAGATTCAATATCCGAGATCAGTTGCCACGAATAAATGTCGCCTACTCCTGATCAAACAATCACCCCGGTATTTAAAATCCGATATTTATTTTTTTTTCCTTTTGAACAGAGTGAGCGGAATGTGATGATATTATGATGATGTTGAAAATATGTATGCTGGTGAAATTGAATATAACTTTATGACGGCCACAAAATAAAGATGATGATGACGTGAATGAATGATGATTCTTAAATTGATGATGATGTTTGTATGAGAACATCGGTCGGAATGATGACGATAATGGTAAAGATGGTAATGATGGTGATGTTGATGACGATGTTCCCCAACATTTTAAAAATCCCAACCCGTTTTATCATGATATTGTCGTTCTGTTTACATATATTTATAAAGAACGAAATAAAAAAAAACATGTTTCTCAATAATTTGCTCCTGTACTCGTCAACTTAAGATGAACATCCACTCGGTACATAGTTTCTATACTGTTTAAATGCTAAACAGATGTGTTGTATGGAAATTGAAATGAGCATTAATACAAATTGATAAGTATGTTTGTATGTAGAGGAATGTTAGAAAGAAAGATAATATAATAAAATTATTTAAATCATAAGCTCAAACATCAAGTTTAAGATCAACAGTTTTGTTACTATATACTTAACCTCTTTACTATATAATGTACATCCGTATTTATAAAGTTATCAAAAAAGACACAAATAATATATAAATGTTAAACATACTCGTATGTATTGTTATTAACCGACTTATTTCCAGATCCAATGTTGAAACTAATTGTAGATGAAAATCATTCAATAAATAAATAAATAAATAAATAATGAGACGAACTGGAAATTACGCCAAAACGGTACAAACCAGACTGTTTTTATAAAAAAGTAAAGTCTCTGACCAGCCTCACGTCGATATGAACTTTTTGTTATAAATTGACATCATTTGACTAAAATAAAATAAAAAAAGCTTTAGGTAGCTTGCTTAATTAATGATCCGTCAATTCAATTTAAGATTATTTCTTATATAGAATGTGTTATTTATTATTTATAATATTTGATATACCTATTCTTATACAATTTCACAATGGGGTTATTATAGATGTTACTCATCAGACAAGATGTGTGTCTAAATCGTATATACATAGCATGTCAGCTAAGTATGATTTGTAGTCCTATGCAATTTTAAAGGCAGTTATTGTGAGTATCACTGCCAAGCTAGTATTCAATGGAAATATTCATTCTAGAAAAATGTAGGACATTCAAGAATTGTTTCGGAAATAAAACAGAATATAGTAGATACATTACGATAAGTTTTAAAAATACATTTGGAGCGAATGTTTACATCTATAGTTATAAATACATTATCTTGTACATGGTATATATAAGGTATATTATCTTGGTTAAGCTAAATAATATTGTTAAGTCATTGTGTAAATATAAATGTATGTTATGTTATTGTACTGTTTTAACCATCCAATTATATATGTCAATTTTGTTGAATCATCATCTACTGATTAAATAAATGACTAAGCACAATTCAATTGCTGTTGTTACTTCCCGTTATGATGTATTTTTTTAGTTCATGTTCTAAAGAACATGCTTCGAAATGGTATCCTATCAGGAGTTTCAAATGATTGTGTGAAAAAAATACTTTTAAATGCTAAGTTTAAAATAATTTGTGTAAAGACTAGTATGCCTATTATGTACGTGTGTCTCTGTCAGGGAAATAAAGTATGACTAAAAAAATGAAGGTAAATTGAGTTACTTCCCTTAACGTTATAGTTCAGTGCGATTCACTTCTTGGAAAATGCTTGTGTAACACACACTGAATTATACAGTTTGAACCACAACCTCCCCGCCACCAACAATTGGCTACTCATTACTATTCTTCACCTCTCTTCTTATATTGATCATAGTTGATGCTATAATTAATTTTACTATGTAACTCATGTTTTGCATGCCGCACTCTGTACACATTTGAATATGCTTTTGTGTAAGGGTTTTTGTATGTACCACAATTGTTGTATATATTGGCCGGGTTTAGCTATTCTTTTGCATTGTTTAATCATTGTTCAACATTTTAATTTGAATACCCCTCACAGTTTTTCTTAATGTTAATTTCTCCTAGGTCTCAGGGAGTTATTCTTACTGTTAATGCAAATGTACCACGTGACTAAGAAACTGTCACATATGTAACAGTATTTTTTAACAGTATAAAATCTTGTCACGTGGTCTATTTTCTAAATAAAATAAATCGCCGCCATTTTTCTCTCGATGCATTCTTATTTACGACGTTAGGGCCTAGGGCTTCACCAAAGTAACTATGACTCTCATAAAATTTAGTCTTTTGCACCCTAGTGTTCTTTTCGCGTATAAAATATCCCTTTGTTGAATAGTCAAAAAGTAAACATCCGTTTTCAACGGAAGTAATTGTAATGGGAATAAGATTGTGTCAAACTGGAACATGCAGACGATTAAAGCATGCAACAAAGGATTTTTTTACAATTTTAAGCAGTAAAACGTTACGGATAGAGTTGTAGGACAGATATCTGTAGGATATCATCGTTATTTTGTAAATGCACTTTGTAAAAACCAACCGAAGAATATTCTGGATATAGAAGGATCAGGTTTCACAGATCATAACCTTATAAATTGGTTAGTGTTTTGTTTTCTCAATTAAACACAGCTTATTGTATGTTGATAACTAGTAGATATCATCACTTGCTTAAAGAATAAAAGAACAGCTTCTCGAGTAGGCCTACAGTACACTAAAAACTTGAAAGGTAAGGACAGTTTAGTTACTGCTACTCTTGGTATATTTTTGTTACATTTAGATCTAGTTTACAAATTCAGATCATCACAGTATTTGTTCGGGGTAAAAAAAAAAAAAATAATACATGGGTTTGTTAGTAACAGAAAAAAATATCATCCCTTGGGTAACAGTATTTTCCTCGGGATGATATTTTTACTTTTACCCACAAACCAATGTGTATTTATATAATGTTATTTTACTCTTTTACCCAGCCAATTATATATGTCAATTCCGTTGGATCGTCGTTTATAGTTTAAATAGTTGACAATTCAATTGATGTTGCTGTTTCCCTTAATGATGTTTGTTTTTAATTCATGTACTAGAGAACACGCTTTGAAGTAGCATCTTTTCAGGAGCTTCAATGGTTGTGTGTATAAATATGTTTTATGCGTTATGACATTCTAATGTATGTATTTTCATGCTTTACTATATCGCAAGATATATATCCGATATAGATTACTAGGGGTGCTACTATGTAAGAACAGTTCTGAAATGATTTTTTAAGGTCCCTTCCACAAAATGAAAGTAAAGCGTTGTTGCTTTTCCAACGCCCGCCTATTGGCAACATAATCGTACAATAGTCGCATAGTTCTTTTATTATCTTAAAGCAAACTTTATTTTTAACATCTTTTAAATCTTAAAGTTAAATATAATTTAAGTTTAAAGGTTTCTGTCATATATAGATGTGTACACTATATTGTGAAAATTTTAGAAAGTAAATCAAGTTTCTGGTAAGACGATGATTTGTTAGTTAACTTGTAAAAAGCTTGTTTCGTATTGCGTTCAATTCAATGTATCCATATTGTAACTTTTATTGCTACTATAAGGCGTTTAAATGGCAACGGGTGTTGATTATTAGATAACATTTTATCAACCTTCTTAGGTTCTGAATATAGTTTTTATAATATTAAAATAACAAAACTAGTTCCTTTTTATAAGATTCATACATATGATAGGTTTACACCAGAACATATACTACTGGTTCTGATAAATTGAGGTTTGTTATCCATTTATTTCATTAATTACTTTTATATAGGTAAAAATTGTAAAACAGTTTCCACTTAGTTGTACTATTTATTATTCAGTGTAATTTAGAACAGACCATTTGACCCTTTTGTATGCAAAAATAAAATTTCTCATAGATTATAGTTATATGAATGAAAAGTTCAACATTTTATGCTTACACAAATTTACTGTAGACATTTCAAACCAGGGTACTCTTTGAGAAACACAAGATGGCCGCTTGGGCATAGCCGATAAATTATTGAAAAATTGCACAGACACATTTAAGTTATTAATTGTCTTTTATTTTAGTTTTGTTGGTGTAATTACTTTTTTTGAACAGTATAAAAATGAGGCATTTTAAAGAAATACACTCAGAGTTTAATAAACAAAATCCCAGTTTGTTTCTCCTGTGTTAAGTAAAAGGCTTTTTAACGTTTCTCATTTATTGTACATTTTGGACAAGAAAAATAACTATCCTAAGGAAACCAAGTAACATTTTACACAGAAGTTACTCATCCTGTCAAATATTATATGTACGACATAGAAGTAAGTGTAAAACTATATTTTAGGTTAATTCATAAGAAAACAACTCCGTTAAGTCTCTTTAATATAATTCTGAGCGATCAAGTTTTAAACATGTATCCCATTATATTGTATTGTTTTATTATCCAGTGTAGGATCATCTTGAAGTGTTCTACTTATATAATTACCTAATGTATTATCAACATAATTGATAAAGTGCAAATGAAACAATGCCTAATTACAAGTCATTGCAAAATAAAATATAATAAAAGATATAACACATGTTCTCAATGTCAAAAGCACA